AACACTCCTCCACTGCTGGTGGGAGTGCCAACTCGTACAGCCACTTTGGAAATCAGTATGGAGATTCCTCAGAAAAATGGTTATTAGCCTACCACAAGACCCAGCAATTCCACTCTTAGGCATATATCCAAAAGATGCATATTCACACAACAAGGACATCTGTTCCACTATGTTCGTAGCAGCATTTTTTTAAATAGTCAGAACCTGGAAGCAACCTAGATGCCCCTCAACTGAAAAGTGGATATAGAAAATGTGGTACATTTACACAATAGAACACTATTCAGCAGAATAAAAGGATGGAATCCTGAAATTTGAAGGCAAATGGATGGCACTAGAAGAAACCATCCTGAGCGAGGTAACCCAGTCGCAAAGAGAAATATGGTATATACTCACTCATATATGGATTTTAGACATAGATCAGGGGAGTGCCAGCCTACAACCCCATGGCCAGAGAGTCTGGGAAACAGAGCCTTCAACAAATGACTGATGGAAGCAGAGGCAGACTCCCACAGCTAAACACTGAGCTGAACTCAAAGAACCCAGTGACAGGGAGGGAGGACTGATGAGCAAAGACTGGTCTGGTTTAACCCCCAGAAACAGCTGACCTGACAAGGGTTAGCTCTTGAATCCCAGACTTATGCCTGGGAATCCAGCATGGGACTGATCAAAACCTCCTGAATGTGGGTGTCAGTGAGGAGGCCTAGGCAATCCATGAGGCCTTGGGTAGTAGATAAGCATTTATCCCTGGCATACAAATGGACTTTGGGTGCCCATCCCACAATGAGAGATGCACTCTCACCCTGGACTCATGGGGGAGGTTCTAGGCCCCGTCCTGGATGAAATGACAAACTATGGACACCCCCATAGAGGGCCTCAACCTCCCTGGGGAAAGGAGAGGGTTTTTTGGGGGGGGTTGGTGTGAGGCTGTGGGAGGAAGGGAAGGAAAAGTAGAGGGACCTGGGATTGACATGTGGATCAACCTTGTTTCTAATTTAAATTAAAAAATATAAAATAATTAAAAAAAACATTGATGTGTGTCTCCTAGACATGTTGGCTTACTATCATTTTGTGTACATACATTGGCATGCTATAGGGAATAATACAGTACATCTCTTTTCATATACATATATATGTGTGTGTGATATACATATATATCACATATATCACATCACTTTTGTACAGTGTGAGTAGGTAGAATACACTAAAAATTCATACACACACATATCTGTATATGTATACATATGAAAAATTTCAGAAACCTTTGTACAGTTTCCATAGTGGCTAAACAAGTTACGTTCTCATCCTTCAGTGCATAAGATTCAATTTAATCCATATCCTTACCAGCATTTACTGTGACCTTAATGAGTGTCATTCTCACTTGGTTCAGATAGAATATCAAAACAGTTTAAGATTCATTGAAAGCTCTTTTGATACATATGACATCACTTTTTGTACCAGTGTAAATGCGTAAAATGCACTGAAAATTCATATGTGTGCCTATACAAAAATGAGTGAGTGTACATGTGCTTGTGTGTATCTTTGCATTTACATTTGATTATCTTTTTAGGAGTTCTGTACAAACAGAAACCATTTTAAGGCCTCTGGTTAACACACACTTCACAGTTAACACCTACATTAAAACAACCTCCTACACTCGGCCACTCCAATTAAACTATTCACTATCTCTTAATTCCAGCTGTGCAGATGGAGCTGCAATATCTAAACCTTTGGCATACAAATAAACAACTAAACTATAGGAACTATAATGACAATTAAGTAATCTATCACTGAATTTTACAAGAAGCCATATCTTCTTTGGATTAAACATGTCATAATTGAATTTCTTTGTTGAGATGTGCAAATCATAGTTTAAGCTTTACCTTTTGAAAAATGAGCAAGATTAATTCTTTTACTCTGAGGAAGCTATAATCAATGTGTTTTTCTCAATCTTTTATTTACATTGCATGCATATATTTGCTTACCCTCCATATCATATATTCAAATATATAATTATATGCACACATATGTATTATAATGTTTCTATATGAGTGCATGCCTTTATTATCACAGTCAGGAACAGAAGCATACAGGTATCTATGAATATAAGGCCCATGTAGTCTATACAGAAAGCACCAGACCATCCAAGAATATACAGTGAGACCATCTGCAAAACGAAAAACAAACATAAAAAGATTGTGCTTATGGTAGAAAGATCAACCTATAATCAATCAACACATTGGTAAATAAAAATGTAAATTGTGATCCATGAAATTTTCCAAATGTTGTATGTCAAATTCTCAATAAAAATCTCCTCCTTTTTGAAAAAGTATCAGATGTTCTTTTTGTGTTGGAATCAAGATCACAGTGCTAATATCTTTAGCATACATTATTAAATAAATTTATTACATTAGTATTATCTCCATTATGATACTATCATGAGTTATCAAAGGTGTCTTAAAAATATTTAAGTGTGGCAAAATAGCTTCTTGTATGATCACTGGTGTAATATTTTATATTACTTTCTTTCCCATCTCAATTCATACAGAGAAAAAAGATAAAGTATGTTTTTTGGAGTAACAGCTGTAAAAATTCTATTAGAAGCTGATTATTCTCAACATAATTTTTGCCAAAAATCCATTTTTGCTTCTATCAGTAAGCTGTGAAATATTTTCATTTTATAACAAATGTGAAATTATGAAAATGAAGTGTTCCTTTAATAAAGCAGAATATACTGCACTTTTAGCTTCATACAGATTAAACTAGGCCCTAGGTAATTTTTGTAATATCAACTTCATCCACTCTTTAAATGGCTACATGTTTTGTTATATAGCAAGTCATCTTTCACACCTTAAGGTACTTTACCCATGGTCAATAGGGAAGTCATTAAAGTGGAAATGTGTGTGAGTCTTCTCCCATTTTATAGGGTATGCTAGTTTGAGAATTTGAACATCTTCAATGAAAGATACAAAAAAAGTAAATCTGTGTCACTCATTACATTTTTTCCATCCGTAAATCTGACAAGTTTGCTATTTATTCACAGTAACAATGTGCACAGCTTTAAGACAAAAAGTGCTGAAGGATAAAAATTTATATCCCTTGTTGAAATTTCTCCATTTTTGTTAGTCAGAAACACCTTTAAACACTGTATTACATTATTATTTATTATAGAAGTTTTATTTACTCCTTTTCATTTGTAAGTATTGAAAAGCATCAACATTTTTATGAAAATACAATGTTATATAGAAAAACCCACAAGACAATAGTATTTGTAAATAAAATGTGGACTTGCTATTTTCAGGCTAGAGAATGCCATTCTCACCAATTGGACACTCACTTTGAAGCAGGTCTTTTGCTTTTAATCTCAATAAGTGTTTCACAATATTCTAAGGTACATCTTGTGTTCATTTTGTTGATGGAAAAATGAGTCTTAGGGAAATTAACTAAATTAAATCTAAAGCGACAGTGAAATACTCATAGGCAAACTAATCCTTTCATTTTATTTTAAAACTCTACTGCCTTCCATAAATGCTTAATTTCCCTGTAAAAACATGAAATAAATAAGGATAGTTTTACCTTTCATGTACCTACTCCTTCTCAGCAAAGTCTTTTCATATTCTTTGGTCACAGAGAAAGACCTTAATATTCACAACTTAATATTAGTTACCTATAGGCAGTGTAGAAAGTGTTCTCAAAATTTTTTAACAAGGAATATCACTAGTTTCTTTAATAAGTATTTGAAATAAAGTGTTTAAACTTTTCTGGGAGATGCTGCATACAGTATATATTTCATTTCTTTAAATCACAACTAATTTGTCCTCCTACTTCCCCAAAGCAGTTCTCATTGTTTAAATACTTTTGAACACATGAAGTACAGGGGGCTCAACAATACTCCAAAGCAATGTACCTATGCTGAATATCTTGAAAGAATCTCGAAGTAATGTCTCTTTCCCACATTCTATAGGTATTTCTCTCCCACAAGCCAACTATAAAACTCATTATTGTCTTTTCTCTAAGGCAAGGTAGAGAAAAATCTCCTCAAACACAGTCCTCAAATATCTAAATACTACTTTAAATATTCTATGTTTTCCTATTTGAGATAGTCATAAAGAAAATTTCTGGTCTAACTTCATAGTTTTCATAAGAATGTTTTGAAGGGAGTCATGGCCTGGGGAAGGAATGCCAGCCACACAGAGGTCAGGAGGAGACTAAACAATTAGGCCTTGCTACGTTTCCCTCTTAGTCTCTGTTGGTCTCTAACTATCATTCACTCATTGTCACAGGGCTTTGAATTGCTTTGGTGGAGATTGCAAGTTTCCCCTGGGCCTGCTGGACATGTAACATTGTTACTACACTTTTCTCTGATTGACCTGACTCTTATTATAGAACTGTTGTCAAGGGTCCTTACCATGAGTTATAAACACAGCACATCTTTTTACTCCCACAAATCTTATCAGACACATTGCATTTTCTTCAGTGCTTAGTAGGAAAAATGCAATAACAATGACCATAGGGGAGGACATGTTGCTGGTGGTGGAGGCCTGTAATCCAAGCACTCAGTAGGCTGAGAGAGGAGGGCAGAATTTCAGGCCACACTGAACTACTGAGTATTACTCTGTCTTAAATAATTAATAATAAAGAAATAAATTTTAAGAAAAAAAACCTAGAGCATGTGTTGTTTACTTTTTTTCTGATACCAGGTATACAATTGAAATGCATTTCACTAGGGATTTTTGTCTAATAATATGCAAGTTATTTACAATTTCTTGAAACTTGTTAAAAATCAGGTTAAAAAACCATGATATAACTGAATAAGTATTGTTAATATGAAATGCTAGAATAAAATATTGTTCAAACTATCCTGAGATTTTAAAGAGCTTGTGCAAATAATCCAAAAGGTTACAAAAGACAAAGTCAGGAACTAAAATATGTAACATATATGCATATATAATGTTATAGGATCCTATAAAACTTCAAACCACAAAAAATAATAGACATGGAAATTTAGACTTTTGATGCACCAATTTTATTTTTCAACTCAAATGATCACCTGTCAGAACATACACTTAAAAAAAAAATCTCTGGCGGTGAACACACCAGAATATATTAAACGCCTGTGGATTGGAGTGATGGGCAATTATAAATATTTTTCGTCTTTATAAAAAGGTCTAAAGAAGACGGGCTATCCAAGTAACACCGGTTTATAAAACATACTTAAAATGTTGGTCGCAAAAGAGATAAAACAGCAGAAGATTTAGGGGACTAAAAGAATGAATAGGCATTACCCACTCGAACACACTATTCATCCTTCCAAGAATCAAAAACAGAGGAAAAGATATACAACTGGTCCTCACAACACTTTGAAAACTTCAAGAATTTAGGAGGTGCTCCTGGGCACCCAGTTCTTGCTAATTTAAAGCCGGTCCCCAGAGCAGAGGGACCTCTCTCCTCTCTAGACCCTACCAGGGTCCCTGGCAGTGGCTCTGCACAAGTGGGAGGTGCTGGCTCCTCTCCCTTCCCCAGGCCAACCAACCCGGCACCCGGAAGTGCCCTTGGGTGGGGCTGGAGTCCTGGGGGAGCACAAGTCCTGAGCTTCCGCGTGCTGAGAGGGGCGGGGCGCAAGGCGGAGGGGGCGGGGCGCGCGGCGGCCCCACCCCTGTCCCGCCGCGCCCTCGGGCGCGCGTCCTACGGCCAGGGCCCCGGGACATCCGGGTCCTGGGCGCACTGGCCGGTGGCCGTTTCCCGGAGCGAGCTGTCGTCGTCGTCGTCGTCGCCGCCGTCCCCCGGGGGGCGCGCGCCCCGCTGCTCCAGGTGCAGCTGCAGCAGGGCGCGGCGGTACATGACCTCCAGCTTCTCGAGCCGGGCCCGCAGCGCCCTGGGGCTGCCTGGCTCGTCCTCGCCGCCGCTCGGCCCGCGCTCGGCGGCGGCGGCGGCGGGTTCGTCGGGGCCGAGGGTCGGGTCGGCGGCCTCCCGTTCGCCGCCGTCGCCGGGCAGCCGCAGGGCCTGGCGGAAGAGGCTGCGGTTCTCGCGCTTCAGCCGCCGGTTCTCCAGGCGCAGGCGGGCGTTCTCGTCGCGCAGCCGCGCGTTCTGCCGGTCCCGCTCGTCGCGCGCGCGCAGGGCCTCCAGGTGGCTGGCCGCCAGGTCGGCGAAGCGCTCCTCCAGCTGTCGCCGGGCACCGCCCGCGCGGCCTCGCCAACCCACGCCGCCGCCGCCGCCGCCCTCACGGGCCCGGCCCAGGCGGCCCGAGTCTCCGCGGTGGCGGACGCCGTCCCCGCCGCAGCTCCCGCGCCGGGCGGCGCCACCACGCATGCGCCACATCGGTCCGGTCTGGTCGAGCCGCCAGCTCCGAGGGCCTAGGGGGCCTCGTGCGCGCGCGCGCGCGCGGGGGGCGCGGGCGAACTTGGGCGCTCAGTCGCAGGCGGAGGAAGAGAGGTGGCGGGCGGCTCTGGCGGGAGGCCAGGGGAGGCCGGGAGTTGGCCCGAGCTGAGGCGTGTCCTCGTCTCTCGCGGCTGGAACGCCCCCCCTCCCCGGAGCCTGCGGTCCTCCCCGTCGGCTCACACACGATGCCCCTGGGGAGCGCTCTGCTGCTCAGTCCCCGGTGTCCGCCCCAGGGAAAGCCGTGTCCTCCCGCTGGGTGCTGCCACCGCTCCCCTGTGGCCTTGGGCACTGCGGGGACACGCGGGACCACCAGTGCTTAGTTTGCAACTTACTTGGCAGTCTCGGAACTAATAAAGCGAGTTCTGAGATGGCTGTGGGGCAAATTGAATTTATAATTATACTATTTGAAACCTACCTGCTTAACCACGCCCATGGTCAAGAAGCACGGAACATTTATGGGGCTGAGCACCTGCCATCGGGCGCTCAGAATCCAACAGGTAGCATTCCAAACACTGGAGTAAATCCCAATTTCTAAACATCCCATACGCTGAAACTGAATAAAGTTATAAGAGGGCATTTGTTCAGTGCAGTCCTCAGAATGAATGTACAGTCGGTTCCAAACTATCTGGAGACAATTGGATACATAAACTTTGTAGAAGCACAGTACAGGTTTTCCTAAGGATCTCAACCTACCAAGGCCCTGAATCGTAAAGTAAAAGATTAGATATTGAAGTTAGAATACTTGGGAAATACGTGGTAGCAGGTTCTGTTGAAATTTTAATTTCCATAAGGTCTCCAAAACCATTGGAGCAAGGAAATGAACAGGTGCCACATAAAAGAACTGTGGTTCAAATAAGGAGCTAGGAAAACATGGTTACTCAATTACGGTCCTCTCATTTGTCCAGCTAAAACACCATAATTTTACCTCAGCTCCAAATAGCCATTTCATGGAGTAAGTAACAAACTCAGTGGATTTAGCTGAAGGAAGAGCTGTCATTTCATAATTTACATTAAAAACAGACAGAACCCGACTTCTCTGTAGACTACTGTGCCAAGAAGATGTTGTTTCTTATCCAAAGAGCACAATAGGGTGAAAAAAATATTTGCTCTCTGGTTTGGATGTAACAACTCTAAGAATCAGGAATAACTACACACCTTATAATAAAGTACAATAAAAATGGGACATGAATCACCACCTACATATTTTAAATTAGGTACCAACACGGTTTTTATTAGCTCTTCTCCTTTTATCTCATTTATAAAGTATTTTACTGTTTTCAAGATTCAAGTTGTGCTACTTCTCTTGTACAGTATCTTACAATCAAATACCTTGTTCTCCTTTAATATTTTGCTAAAGAGCACTGGCCCTGGTAGACTAGGAAGGCAGGCCTCCTCGCTGTCTCCTTCATTCACCACTCAACTTCTAAATACTTCTATCTTGAAGTATGTTAGGTATCTTTCCAGGCAGGTACAACTGAATAGAGAGGATACCAGCTTTATTAGTAGTCTGTTTGATACTGCAAATAATTATAGGTGTATTTTCACAAGAGAGAAAAATCTTAATATTGCCATTATGAGTCAGACAGATGGCATAGGTATTCTTGTAAAAAGAAGAGAGGGTTAATCCAGCCCTGTCTTAACCCATTTGCTTATCAGTTCTCCCTTTCTGTCACTGGTTTCTAGGAGTTCAGTTCAGTGTTCAGCTGTGGGTGTCTTGACCTGAACAAGGGGGAGCTCTTAGACCCCAGATTGATGGCTGTGTGGAAAGCATGGGACTGATCCAGACCCCTTGAATGTGGGTTTCAGTGAGGAGGCCTAAGTAATCTATGGGGCCTTGGGTAGTATTTATCCCTGACATACAAATAGACTTTGAGTGCCCATGCCACAATATGGGAAGCTCTCTCAGCCGGGACTCTTGGAGGAGGGCCTAGGCCCTGCCCTGGATGAAATGACAGACTCTGGAGATCCTCCATGGAGGGCTTCACCCTCCCTGGGGGTAGGAGTGGATATTGGGTGGGGGACTGGGGGGGTCTTGTGGGGGGTCTGGGGAATATGTGAAGTAAGCTTGTTTCTAACTTAAATTTTAAAAAGGAGGAAAAAAAATGGAGTAGAGAATGAGAACAAGAAAAAGCAGCCCAACAAAAAAGAGTAAAAATCATGAAGACTGTCTTTTCTAAAGTATTTATTGTGTGGGTACTTCCTATGTATGTGTGTGTACCCTAAGGATGCCTAGTCTACTGAGAGGCCAGAAGACAAAGACAGTGTCAGATCCCCTAGGACTGGAACAGTAGGTTGTGAGGAGCTCTTTAGGGATTGAGATTAGATCCTGAATCCTATAGAAGAACAGCCAGTACTCTTAACTGCTGAGCCATCTCTCAAACACTGAAGGTTGCCTTATTAGTGAACATTCACCTGTGGATAAAGGAAAGTCCAATATTCCTCAACAGGAATTGAGAGCAATATAAATTCTAAATTGAAAAAGGTTTGGAGACAGCAGAGTGACTCAAAAGATCATGCCAAAATTATTGCTGTGTACTTAAACTTAGATTTATTTAGAGTACTTTGTCAATAATTTTAACCTGGACATTAATACTTCATTTATTTATAGAGATTTTAGCTAGTACATTATGCTTTTTCATATAATTTATAGTGGTCGACACAGAAAAACATTACAATAGTAGGTATAAGTATTATTTCATTTAAAATTATTATGGAACTTTACTGAAGTTAAAAAAAAAACATGGTGCTACAATAGAACTTCGAAGAAGAATATATATATAAACTATAAGGACTTAGGTAAAACAGTAAGACTGCTTTGTTCCATGAATACATGCTTCTGAAGAGAAGCATCACATGCCTGTTCCCTGGAAGACAATCTTTAAGAACATAGGTCATTCTTTTCCTGACAACGCACTTCTGTTCTTCAGCTGTGTTTAATAAGGAAGACTCAAGAGACTCAAGAAAAGGCAGTAGTGCAGAGAGGGTGGCCTGCCCTCTGGGGAAGAGGGCAAAAAGGGAGGATTCACCTAGAGAAAACTTGGGAGTAAATGTAACAGTTGTATATCAAGTGAAAAACTCCTGGGAATGGCAATGAACTATTTCAACTTTGTGTTTAAGAAACATCAAAACATTTCTACAAGATTCCTCAATGTGGTTTGGAATTAAAATAAAGAAGACAGTAAGAGCAGTGCACTTTGTTATTATACTGATAGAACAGTCTGGAATTTCATACTCACTTAGTCACCCTTCCCTTACACCCCGTGTCAATTCTTATTCAACAGCCTAAATTTTGTGTTTAATAGCTGTCTAAGTTGGTAAAATAATCTATAAATTTTTACTACTATTATATTCTTTAGTCTATAATGCCTCAAAAGAATTTTGTAGATCCTGTAGTTGAGAGAAGTTATGTTGGCACATTAGAGTGAAGTTTTTATTTGTCCTGCACTTGATATATTTGTTTTAGTATTTCTCAAAACAAATTTTGAATTGCAGCTATTGAATATATTATATTTATACTCTAAGCATCCAATCATGATTAGATCAATTCCCTATGAGAAGAGATAGCAGAGGCCTTGCTTCTAACTCCAACACCTCCACCTGAGACATAGAGAAAAGGTGGCCATCTGTTGGCCTGGAAAATGGCCTTTACCAGGGGACTGAATCAGCCAGATGACAAGTCTTGATCTTAGACTTGTCGTGCTCCAGAACCATGAAAAGTAATTTTGGTTGCATATGCCATTCATTTTAAATATATCTTATAGCAGCCTGAGCTGAGAAGTGTTCTATGTTTTATTTTGGTCATTCAGATTGTAAAGAATCTATTAATAGGAAGTTCACAGCCCGTCACTCCTAAATCTGCAGCTGTAGAGAAACAATATGATAGTAATGCTCCTGTGTGTGACCCCTGGGATAGATAATCTTGAGGGCAACTCAACAGGATCTGGGATCAACCTTTGCACAGATCTCCGAGAGGTTTAGCAGGAAGTAGTGACTTGAGATAGAAGAACTGTCTAAAATGTAATGCGTGCCCCTTTCCCTGTGGAGGTCCATATACAGAGATGCATGAGGGAAAATAAATGGTGTTTTATATGCCTGCATTTGCCTCTTGCTGAGAGAATTCATCCTGTTGTTTTGTTGTTGCTGCTACTGCTGCTATTTCTGTGGCTGCCATTCTTCACTGACACGAGACCCTTGCTTCTTGAGCTTTCTAACACAGACTGAAGGCCATAGCGCACAGGAATTCTCCAGACCTCCAGTGCCAGCCGTGGGTTACTGAGGCACCCAGATTCATGGACTGTGCATTTCTCTTGTTCTCTGCTTCTCCAGCATGCTTGTGCTGGTAAGTTTTATGTCATCTTCACTCCAGCAGAGTCATTTGGGAAGAAGGAACCTCAGTTGAGGAAATAACTCCATCAGATTGCCCTGTGGGTAAGCCTGTAGAATATTTTCTTGATTAGTGGTTGATGTGAAAGGCCCCAGCTCACTGGGCAATCCCTGCTCCTCCCTGAGGTGGTGCTCCTCCCTGAGGTGGTGCTCCTCCCTGAGGTGGTGCTCCTCCCTGAGGTGGTGCTCCTCCCTGAGGTGGTGCTCCTCCCTGAGGTGGTGCTCCTCCCTGAGGTGGTGCTCCTCCCTGAGGTGGTGCTGCTTAGTGCTATAAGAAAGCAGACTGAGTACACCATAGAAGTAAACTAGTAGACAGCACTTCTTCATGGCCTCCTGCCTCAAGGTCACCTCCTTTTTTGAGTTCCTGCTGTGACTTCCTAAGTAACGGATTGTGCAATGTAACTGAAAACTGAAATAACCCTTTCCTTCCCAACTTGCTCTTGATCATGGTATTTTATCACAGCAATAGAAACTCTTAAGACAACACTGAAGACCATGGTTAGGGTACCCAGCCCCTGTTGTGTAAGCCAATCTAATAAATTGATTTTTATAATTCATTCCAATAGTTCTGTTCATCTGGAGAATTGTAACACAGTATCATATTATAATATATACAGTATGAAGACATATATCATTATAGAATGTAAGTATATGCAAATGTTATGTGCAATCATACCTCAACAAAACGGGAAAAAAATGTTGGTCAAATAATGCTTCTGATTGTTGGGT